TATATATATATATATATATATATATATATATATATACACACACACACACACACATAGCAATTTTGAGGAAAGGAAACATACATTTTGTCCTTTCTACAAAGTTACCCAGTTTGGTTGTGGTACAGGGTTAGGACCATGACGTAGAATAAGCAAGTCTAGTTATGTATGCTCAATATAGTTCGTTTCTTTGCATAGCAGTTTTCCTCCTCTTATCCACAAGGCAGGTATAATTTTCTAGCAACAGCCCATTTTTGCAATTATTTAAAGCTTTAATCCTGTTCTCTATTTTTTTACAAGATTCAAACTTGTTTTATAAACCCATACCAAGATACTGATGTTTCAGAATCAAAACTATTGCCAAAGTTCTAATTGTTACATATTCATTTAGTTTAGTGTTAAAAGATTTTAAAGGCAAGAACATCTCCATACAATTCATATTACCAACAGGATTTTTCTCAAACCATTATGACGTTTTATAAAAAATCTAAAGCTGTCAGTTTCTCCACATTAATTACTGCCTGAGTGGTTTCCAATGAAACAAATCCACATTTTTTTACAATACAAGTAGGTACCAGACATTTTACATTGGAACCAGTTTCAAAAAGGGGGGGGTTCCTATAAACTGTTTAAGAAATTTGCAAACAAGGATATGAGAAACACTTCAATCCAAAGTAAAGCAATAGATATTTGTATCTGCATCCATTTTCTTTAGTGTAGTAAGGCACACATTATTTAGATTCAGAAAAAAATAAGCAAGAGGATAATTATATTTATAAGTTTGCTTTATTAGTGCTCAAATATTACAAACACAAGTAATTAATTACAATCCAAAAAACTACATACAACAAAATTTATGTAACTGGGGAAACAGAAGCGAGTCTTATACTAGTTTTTAACGAAATGAGGTTCTAATGTCCCTATTACATTCTACTGGTTTCAAAAACACCACAAAAAAAACCTCATATAACATGTAATGTCATTTTTTTCAGTGTCCAACAAAATATCTCAGTACATATGTAGTGAAATGCAACAAACTGATGAAACAATGTAAATTCAGCACTAACTGCCCTTCAGACATATTCAATTACACCACTTTACAAATTATTAATCATTAAAATAGCTTAAATCACTGAGAAAAATAACAGAATTTACAAGTAAATACATGGCACACCTTGGCCCAGTAACAGCAACAACTGAATACTTTCACTGCTACTTAAGTAAACATTTACATCTAAATAAAGGAATGCTTAAAGAAAACTTTTCAACCAGACTTAAATAGTAAAATGGCAACCTGGCCTAAATAGAAGTAAATAAAATGCTTTGTTTCATGAGTGACATAGCTTCCAAAATTGCGTCCAACTATACAATGCCATGTTGGATTATACTTCTTGTCAAACTCCTTCTTTATAAAAGCAGCTATGTCCTTCTCAATGTTGAACTTTTCCAGTGCTTGGGTTGCTATGTCAACAGCATCTTGCTGCATTTCTTCTGACATATCTGCATTTTTGATAACAGCTTTTTTGTCAGACCCAGACATTGTCAACTTGATATGGTCCTTGCTGTGAAAAACAAAATAGGTACAATTTCAGTTACTATATGGACAAACATATGTAGTCATGTTCTTGGTTTACCATGTTATCTATTGGTATATTTTGGTGACAGATTTTCTTGTAGGCAGATTTTGTTAAACAAGACCGATGTCTGTAGGTTTACT